AAGATAGTCCCCGCCCACCTCTAGAAGAAAGCCCCGCCCACTTCTGGGAGATAGTCCCCGCCCACCCCTAGAAGGGAGCCCCGCCCACCTCTGGAAGACAGTCTCCGCCCACCCCTAGAAGCGAGCCCGCCCACCTCTTGAAGAGCGGCCCTGTCTTCCAGATGTTGGTATTGCCCACGCAGCCCCGGGGCGGGTCGGTGATGTTCTCCTTCTCCAGGAGTTCATGCACTGCCTGGGCCACGACGCCCACGGCGTCGCTGATGTGCGCTGACTCGTTCTTGCCATTGATGAGCTGCAGTCCGATGATGCCTGGGGCGAGTGTGGTGGGCTTAGAGCCCGTGGGGAACCCCGGCCCACCGGGACCCGGAGAGGCCCAGCACTCACCGTCCGGGGCGTAGCGCAGAGCGTTGCCTGAGATCTCGCGCTCCCCCACCAGCCACACGTACCCGGAGCCGGTCATGTTCAGCATCGCGGCTGCGCGGTACACGGTGGCAGCATCGTCCTCGCTGTGGGGCAGAGGGCGATGACGAGCCAGGACTCCAGCCCCTCCCCACCGGACCTACGGGTTCTCCTCTGGAGTCTGGGCCTGTCCCCGCCTCTCCCCCAGCCCACCCTCGCCTGGAAAGAGGCCTGGGGACACTGCCGAGGTGACAGGCCCAGCCCTTCCTGGGTCCAGTGATGGTGCAGAGGGCCCGGTACCAGCCTGCATCGCCAGCCCACACCTGGGCCAGGAGACCGCCCCCGCCCCGCAACAGAGGTGAGGGGGGTGGTGGTGGAGGGTAGGGATGGGGTAATGGGGCCCAGACCCCCAGAGCTTCCAGTCTCTCTTGCTGGCCCTCTGCCTTGGTGAGCAGGGTCAGGGTGCCCCAGATGGTAAGGGATCATTGTTGATTGCTCGCTTGCTCACCAGGTGCCAGGCACTGCTCTGAGCGCTTTACACGGACTCTTGTATTTAATTATCACGGTATCCCTATGCAGCGGACATCAGTACTATCCCTGTGGCAGGAGGGGAAACCAAGGCACCCAAAGCACACAAGTAATGGTAATTGGCAGAGTTGGGTCTGTGTGTGGACAGTCACCCCAGAGCCCATGCCCCTTCGACCTCCTGGACAAGCCGTACACGCTCTGGTTCTCCACATCCACACATGCAAGTTGAGGGGCGGGGGATGCTCCGGGTTGGTCAGATGTTGGTGGGACCCAGTGCCTGGGAACTGCCCTCCGCTTTGCAGCGAAAGCTGCTCGAGAGAGATGAGTGCCGAGAGCTGCTGCCCAGCAGCTGTGCATGTCCTGCCACCCAGGGCTGGGGCGGTGGCAGGATGCAGCGCAGGGCCTTGCCTTGGAGGCGCATGTGATCCTGAGCTCTCGAGGTGTCCTTACAGGTGAGCCCCTGTGCTCCTGGCCCCCTAGGGCTCCCCTTGTCAGGACAAGGATCCTGGGCCTGGTGGGGCTGTGGGGGCCTCTGGGGGTCCTCCCCCTGCTCTGACCTTCCTTTCTCTACCAGCTGGGACCTGGCCACAGATGGCCAGAGACCACAGCTGGCATTTGGCTAATGCGGGGTCCAGAGGGGATGGACGGACTGTCTGAGTGTTGGGTTATTTTCACAATGACTGACTCTGAAAACTGAGGTGGCTCTAGACTCCCTAAGGGGCCTGCCCCCAGTTTTCTCAAGGGTTAGCCAGAGAGGACACGTAGACCTTCCGTGTTTGCTCTACACGACATGCTCCTGCCTGATGTAAGCCATGCACAGAGAGGTGCCCCGGGCAGCACCTCACCCGTGACCAAAGCAGAGCCTCCAGCCAGGACTGCCTGGCAAGGCCAGCGCCGCACCTGTAGGGGCACAGGCTGCCCGGTGAAGCTGGCAGAGAAGCCTGTCTGCGTGACATGGTTCAGTTCCGGGACGTCTGGCTGAGTGGGCCGAGTGCACCGCCACGCTTGTGTCTGTGCGAATCGTTATGACCAGTAAAAAGTTGGAGGCAAAATCCTGATCAGCCCATCCGACTGTTTTAGGGAAGTAACTGGCCCCAGAAAAGACAATCTCGGAAGGCAAGAAGGAAATTGGAGACACGACCTCTCGACGCTCCATAGAAAGTTGCTCAGAAATTGAGACTGGCTTCATGAGGCCTGTCCCCAACATGCTCTCAAGGGCCCTCAGGCAGGAGGAACCCGTGTGTCAGGTGGAAGTACCGGGGTCAGGAAGACCTGTGTGTGCCGCCCCCTCGCCTCCCTGGCTCCTGGGAACCGGGGCGTGCGGGGCGGCCGGGAGCCCCGTCATCATGCCACGCGGGCGTCTCTGCTCCCAGGAGCCCAGGTGTGAGGGGAGGGGTACCTTCTGCTCTTAACGGTCCAGGGAGGGGCCTTGTGTGGGTCCAAGGGGGGTGCTGGTGGTTGTGTGGTTGGTGAGTGCTCTGCCTTTGTTGGCAGTGTCTGTGCACGTGGGGGCTAGGTGCGTGCATGTGGTGTGTGGTGTATGTTGTGTTGTGCCTCTGTGTGTATGAACGTCTTGTGTACATATATGTGTGCACGGTGTGTGGCGTGTATATGGTGTGTACCCATGTGTGGGTGTGCACACGCGTGTGTGTCTATGTAGTATGTGTGTAATGTGTGTTCGTGTGTGTACACACTTGGCATGTGTTGTGCATGGTGTGTACATGGTGTGTGCACATGCGGTGTGTGTGTGTGTGAGTGGTGTGCATATGCTGTGTGCCTGTGGGCACGTGCACAAGGTTTATTTGGGGGTGTGTACACACACGTGTGTGTGTGTGATGTGCATGACGTGTGTACATGTGGTGTTCGGTGGTGTGTGCTCATGTGCATTCTCGCATGTGGTGCACACATAGTTAGTGTGCATGTTTCCATGTGTGCATGGTGTGTGTGCAACTATCAGATGTGACCACATAGCCTGCCCTGGGCTGACCTTTGTTTTGGAGCCATACCTGCCAAACCTGTCTTTGAGCCTGGGAGCTGGCAACGAAGGGCAAGCCCCTCCCAGCCCATGCTCAGGGAGCTTCAGAATGTGGTGTGGTACCTCACGGACCAGAGGGAAACTGGAGAAAGTGCCCACCCCTCTGCTGGGACCCGGGTATGGTGGGAGTCTGTGGATCGGTTCTACTTGTGGCTTTCCGGCCAGTGTCCTGGTGGCCACTCTGGTGATAAGGTGAGGGCTGAGGGGGTCTAGTTTGATGTGACCTCATCCTTTGTTAAGGGGCCCAACAGTTGAACATCTATGTTTTGGCAGAATGAGTTCCTAGAGTTGCTCTGTCCTGGTTGAAGGGGCCTTCTGGTTGTTAGCTAACTGTCCGTTCGCCCATCTGTCTGTCTACTGGTCCACCCACCCACCCACCCTTTGATCCCACCACATGCACTGAACCTCTCTCAAGCCCCATGATGAATGAGGGGGAGTATAAACAAATTGGGAAATCAAATGGAAGGATCTGGTGGGGCTTTTCCCATGGGGCTTGTTCTGGGCAGGGCTTGCCCTGGGAGGGACGGGGCAACCCCTGGCCTTGCCTGCACCTGTCCTTAAACCTTTCTCCTGGAGCCCTCCCCTCAGTGCCCAGGGTCAGTGGTTGGCGTGAGCCCGGGTTAGCCACTGTAAAACAGGGGCAGAAGGGGATGAGCTCCTGGCTCTGGTAAGCGAGGGGCTCCCTGTCTTCCAGCCCAGGGAGCCTTGGTTGGCCCCACCCTCCCCAGCACTGGGAAGTGGGGCACCGGGGTCTGTGTCAGGGGTTTGTTGACGGAATGTCCAAACGGACACCTGCCCTGCAACTCAGAGTATTGCTTCCTCTTTGTGGTCTGCTGGACGGCAGCATTTGGGGAACGCTCCTCTGGGCAGGGTGACCCCTGTTGTCTTTCTCCACTCTGTTGGAGCCCAGTGGCGCTTCTAGGAACGGGCAGACTGGAGTGTGTCCATGTGGGCCCTCCTGGCTATTCCATGGAATGGGGCTCTTCCTTTTCCTAGTCCAGAGGCCTGGACTTTCCCTTCCCAGGGGAACTTAGCCATTTACGGAAAGGGAGGCTTTTGCTGAGGTCTCATTTCCAAGGTCAAGGTGGGGGTCAGGCGCTGGCTGGCTGCAGCTTGGTTTCCACAGGTCCCTAACTGGTTCCTTTCTCCTGCTGTCCACTCCAGCTGCTCCAATCCTGCCGTCCTAGGACTCTGCCTCTCTCTTCGCTGTGGCTTTCTCCCCTGGGCTCACCTGCACACCCACATGTCCCTTCCCTGGGCTTTGCCCCTGAGCCCGGCTCCCAGAGTCCTGGGTCACATCTCTGCCTTTGGGCCATGTTTGCCTTCCTGAGGGCAGGGACTTCTCCATCTCCCATCTCAGAGCAAGCAGCCACAGGGGACTAGAAGGAGGAAGGATGGACAGGTAGAAGGTATTGCACTGGCCAGGTCTCCAGGTGTACGTGGCGGGGGTGGGGGGCGCTCCTCGACATGGCATTTTGGAAGCTGAAACTCAGCGTCAGCCCCACAGTGCCCCTGGCCCAGGTGCAGGCCTGGGCGAAGTAGGGGGAGGGGTCTAGCCCAGCCTCACCTGGCGGAGAGGATGATGACCCGGGCCTCCAGCTCCCGCGCCTCCATCAGCAGGGCCGTCACATTCTTGGTCCCCGGGTCGAACTGCAGCACCTTCTCAGCCTGCGGTGTGAGCGGGAGTGTTAGCAGATGGCTGGGGCAGGGGCATAGCGCCTCAGGGGCGAGAGTCGGGCTGCAGCTGCTAAGAGCCCAGAGGCAGCTTGGCTAGGGCCGCCGCGGCCTGCACCTGCCACCTGCACTGTGCACCTGCCACCTGCACTGTGCACCTGCCTGGCCTGGCCTGGCCTCGCCTGCTGTCCTTTCTTCAGCCTGCTCGCTCTCCTGCGCTCGCTCCATCTCTCCTGTCCTCACTTTCGCACTGAGCATGCAAGCTGAAGTGGGCCGAGACTCAGAAGGATGCGTGCAGCGGACAGGAAACAGAAAAGAGCTTTGGAATGCAACCGGGCGCAGAAATAGGGCCGACTTTTCCAAAACCACGGGAGATCCTCTCAGGCCTGACCCTGCAGGCCCCTGCAGGAGTGGCTGGACCGACAGGGGCAGGCGGGCAGCTGGGCGGGCGGGCTCCCTCCTGGGTTCCGCGAGGAAACCCTGGGGGTCCCAGAGATTCGCATGCACTTCCCAGAGAGCAGCTCCTCCTGCGGCCGGCCCGGCCGTGCCTGCTTCTCGGTGCAGGCCAAGGCTGAGGCCGCGGTGGGCGGGCCGCGGGCACCCACGCGGCCCCGCTCCTGCCCTCTCCTGCCTGCCGCTGCCTGCTTCACGGCCTCACTCTCCTCCAGGCTCAGGCCTGCGGCGCAGCACAGCCGGGCCGACAGCGGCCCTAGCGGCCGAGGCGCCGGAGGCCAGGGCTCCCTAGTCGGTGGGTGGCGTGCACGTCCATGCATATATACCTTGGGTCCGCGCTTGTTGTCATAGGACAGTTGGTCGAGGTTTTCATAGTTCCTTTTTTTACTCTGATGAATAATGTGCACAGAGAAAATATGCAGACACAGAAGAAGATTATAAACGGTTGAAAATGACGGCGCTGAAGCAACCACACCACCTCCTCGGCACGTCTGCAGACGGGCACATACCTGGAGCTCGCAAACACCGCGGCCCGAGCGGGCTGGGGGCCAGGGCAGTGCTGGGGGCGAGGGGGCACGGGGGCCACCGGGGCTCCCAGCCACGGAGCTGTGCTCTTGGAAAAGGTCACACTTGGGAGAAAGGGCGGCCCTGTCTGTGTCCCTTTGGGGTCCCACCTGCCTCCCCCACCCCTGCCATGCACCTGCTGCGTGGTCCCAGCAGTGCCCACCCCACCCGAGGCAGTCCTGAATGGGGGTGAGCAGTCCCTCCCTCATGCCCTGTGTCCCCTCTGTCCCTCCCCTCCTGGCACCCTCCCCTCTATCTCCCTTAGAGGCCCAGGTGCCTGTTCTCACTGATGGGTGTGTGCACAGCTGTCGGCCCACGCGTGCACTGGTGAGCGAGTGTGATAGGACTCTGTGTGTGTGTGTGTGCGTGCATGCGTACGGGTCGTGTGCATCTGCGGGCATCTCTGTGAAAGTGTCAGTCTACACAAGATTTTGGTGGAGAAATGAGGGCCAGTGCCATCTGCGCACTCGTGTGTATGTGTGTGTGAGAAGGCGTGCAGGCGCGTGTGTGGGCGTGTGTGTGAGTTGGTGGGGTGAGTGTGTCTGTGGGCTACAGACCTGTGTGCGTGTCCAGGTACGGTCTCAGGCTGTGGTGGGAGATGTGAAATGTGAGCGGATTGTCTTGGGAATGACCACATGTCCCTGTGAGCATGGGCGCACGTGGGTGGGTGTGCAGGGACACGGCCAGTAAGCGTGTGAGTGTGTGTAGCCATCGGTGGGCCCGCCAGGAGGTGACCAGCCTGCCAGGCGCTGGGGGTCAGCCCTCCCTCTCAGACTCAGCCAATCTCCCACAGCAGGGCCCCCCCCCCCAGGAACCTCTGAGTCTGCCCTCTGGCTTCACCCACCCCAGCCGGTGCCCTCTACTCCCTGCAGGGGCCTGTGAGGGGCCTGGGGTTGGCACTAAGTTGGTTGAAGCCAGCTCTGACTTCACAGACAGAACATGCTTCCCACCACCCCCTTGGTCTGGCCTCCCCGGGCCCGCCCCAGCCTAGGCCTCCCCCCGCCCCTCTGCGCCTCGGCCTCCATCCTAACTGAGGGGCCATGGCACAGGGCTTGAGCTCTCAGGGCTCTGGGCTGGGTGAAGGCGGGACCCTGGGCTTCCTCAAGCTGGCAGTGGGGGCGGGCAAGGAAGGGGGTGGGGGTCACCTGGACCCCCAGAAATGGCCACTCTGCCCTCTCTGCGGCCCCACAGAGTGGGGGCCAGGCTGGGGCTGTTGGTCAGTGTATCTAGAGCCAGGAGGGTAACTGGTCTCTTGGAGGAACCCAGAGCCCAGCCCCATGGTGGGAGTGAGGTGAGGAGGGGACAGCCTCCGGGCTAGGTTGGGGGAGCGGGAGGCCTGAAGGGGGCAGAGCCCAGGCAGAGGAGAGGGGGTGGCAGCTGTCTGTGGATGAGCTTCGGGTAGGACAATGGGCAGCTGAGAGGGGGAGGGCAGCAGGGGAGGTGAGGTCGTGCAATGCAGGGAGGGAGGGTACCGGGTCCTTTGGGGGAGGGGCACGACGCACGGTCGCTGGGGCTCTGGGGCCGCTGTGGGGAGGGTTAGGGGGCGGGAGGAGGGGCGGGGCCGCGCCGGGTCTGGCTGGGGCCTCCGCCTTCTGGGGTTGGGGGCGCTGCGGGGGACGGGGGCGCAACTGCAAGGGGCGGGGGCGGGCCTTGCAGCCCCGTGAGGGGGAGGGTGCTGCGCTGGGCGGGGTGGGGTGTTTGCGGAGCTCCAGGTGGTCCTGCCCTCGCCCCGCAGGGACTGACACGAAGGAGATTTCGACTAATGGCAAAGCGAGTGAAATGAGCCGAGAACAGGCTGGGGCGGGCGCTCGCCAGACGTAGTGGTGCTGACCATGCACGATGGAAAGAAAGGGTGTTCACACACGGGCCACAGACACAGCGCAGGCAGCGCGCCGGCTCCTCCGGCTCCTCGGCTCCTCGGCTCCTCCTCGGCTCCTCCCGCCCGCGGCCCGGGCCTCACCTTGGACTCGCGCTCCTCCAGCAGCGTCTCCAGGCGCTTCTGCGCGGCCCTGCCCTCGTGGTCGTCGCTGACCAGGAGGATGATGTGGTTCCAGCTGTAGACGCGCATCATCTCGAACCACACACTGGACTGGTGGGAGTAGGGCGGCACCGTGCGAAGGAAGCTCAGGTGTATGCTCTGCGGGAACACAGGGAGGCTGAGGGGCCGGCGGGGGAATGGGGGCGCTTCCCCCACGCCCTCCTCCCGCTGCAGACGCCAGCAGACCCCTCAGCCCGGGACCCTGCTTCCTCCTAGCTCTACCCTCAGACCGCTGGGGGCCACCTGCCAGAGCCAGGGACCCCACTGCCCCTGCTGCCCCCCACGCCGTCCAATCTGAGAAACAGCGCTCGGTGTCTGCCCAGGTCTCTGGAACTGTCGGAAGTGTCCCTGACATGAGCTCCCCGGCTCCCTGGCTGCTGTCCCCGCACAGCCTCTCAACTATCCGCAGTGGGGCTTCCCAGGGCTCCTTCCCAAAATTCACACAACCGTAGTGTTTGCCAGAAGTCTTTATTTGGGGCCAAAACCTTGTCTTCAAGTCCAGAGGTTGCTGCTGGCTGACCCTGCCTTCCTTCTCTGTGTGTACATGCAACTGCCAGGATGGGGCAGGGCAGGGCAGGAGCGCACAGCAGGCTCTGCCCTCTGCAGTCTTGCCCCTCCATGTCTGCCCAGGGAATGCTAGTCCCACGCTGATCTTGTGGTGCTCTGAGATGTCCACATCATTTCTCCACCTGCTCCCTCTTTGTGGCCTGGGGGGCAGTGCCTTGGAACCTGAGCGCAAGAATGCCCCTTTGCCTCTGGCCCTCATCCACTTGTCAGCATGGCTGCAAGGGGGTTGTAGTTGGGGTCTCGGACTGGCTCTGACCCAGGCCTCCCGGTCTGTGTGTTGGGCACAGATTGGCCATGGATTGGGACCCTGAGTGGGGCCAGGGCGGAGTTGTGAGGTTTGGTCCTCATGCTGGACCAGGGAGTTGGGCCACAATCTGAATCTGGGCTGGGGTTCTGCCCTGGGAGAGGGCGCCTCCTCCCAGCTGCTTTCCTGGGTAGAGCACAGTTCCTTCCTCTTGCTTACGAGGGGACGGGTGCCAGACAGCTAAGGAGGTTGGAGGGCACAGGAAAGGGTCCCCCACTTCTCTGCAGCTGAGGGCTAAGTGCATCTGAACAGTCTGGGTGCCTCAGCTATATGCTGGGGCTTCCAGAGCCTCAGGAAGGAGCTGCCGCTCCAGCCTCCAACTGGCTTCCTCCCTTGGGGGCTTCCTGGACAAACTTTGGCACTGGCCTCAGTTTCCCCTCGCCTCTGGACAGACCCATCCCTGACCTCCCCAGACCCCCTGGCCCTGGCTGGGATGACCTCCATGCCTTAGGCAGCTTTATCTAGAACTGTGGACTCCCGGCAAGATGGACCTGGAGGGGATGGGAGACTGGGAAGCCCCCAGCACACGGCCCCTCCTCTGGCCCCTCCTGATCTGTCTGCAGGTAGCCCAAGGTCTGGAGGAAGACGTGGAGCAGGCTGTGGGGCCCTCCCAGCTTCCTGGTGGTTCTTGGCTTCCCCAGCTGATGAGTCCTCCCAGGATCATGGGCAGACGCTGTGGGAGAGCTGTGTGGCCTAGAACGAGTTCCCCACCTCTTTGGGATACCAGCTCAGTGACCTCTTGGCTCCTCCAGCTGCTGCTCCAGGATTGCATGGCTCCAGCCAGACCCTCATTCCCCACCCGGGGGCCACAAGGGTCCTATATGCTGCTGAGTGTTGGTGCTTGCAGCCCCAGGACCTGCAGACCCCAGTCTAGCCTCTCCTGCCATGAGCTGCCTCCTCCATTACCCTGCACATACGCGGACATCTTTTTCACCTGTGCCCTGCAGCGGGAAAGGCTGGGACCCACAACCTCATGGCTGCCTGGTGCACCCCTTCCAGGCTTTTCCTCCCCTGGCAGTGCCCCCTCCAGCTCTCCAAAATCCACCTGTCTGTCCCTTCTCCCGGCCCACGGGAACTTCTGCTGTTTCCGAGGGCTTGTTATTGGTGCCTGTCGCTTGCCAGAGTAAGTGTATGTGTGTGTGTGGGCATGAGTATAAGTGCACGAGTGTGCCTTACACAGCCTACTCAGCTGTGTGTGATGGAGCATGAGTGTGTGGGAGGGTGAACACCTTGGTGTGTGTGTGAGTGTAAGAGTGTGTATGGTGTGAGTGTGCATGTGTGAATGTGTGTAAGAGCACCTGAGTGTTTGTTCATGGGGATATGTTTGTGTGTGCACGTGAACTTGGTGTGAATGTATGGGTTTATTTGTATCTGTGAACCTGTGTGAGTCTGAGTTTGTCTGCTAGGAGAATGTGTATCGGTGTGTATGTGCGTGTGTGTCAGTGAGTCTGTGTGTGTCTGAGGCTCTGTGTATGGGTATGAGTGTGTGAACATGCATGAATGCACGAGCTCACGTCTCACCCTGCTGCTCCTTGAGCCCAGAGCCCATGGTCTGAGCACCTCTGTGCCTCCGCCCTCCTCCCTCACCCCAGGGCAGCTGCCAGTGGCCCTGGGCTGCCGGACTCAGCCACTGGGTCTGAACACAGGAACAGAGCCAGCTGGGTCCCCATGGAGTGGTCAGGCTTACCTTGTCTGAATAGATGGACATACGGGTGGTCAGCCCCAGGACGGGGATGCGGTAGAAGCCGGCTGTGTAGGAGACGGGGGTGGGAGTGAAGTGGTCGTTGGGGGTAGGTGGGTGGCTAACTAGGATGGCGTAGACCTGTGGACACAGGGCACAGGGTCAGCTCGAGTGGGGGGTGAGGGTGGGATGGGCACTGCACTGGAGCTGGCTGCCCCGAAGCAGTGGAGGCTGAACTCAGCAGGCCAGGGGTGGGGACATCCAGGGGCACCATTTGTGCACACATGCAGCCCAAGGGGTACACACCCCCAGGCAAGGGGACAAGACCCAAGAACCACCCTCAGAGTCTACAATTGAAGGGGTGAGTGAGTCAGAAGCAGAGCAAGACTCCAGGGGGCAGACAGGACACACAGGGAGATGACAGACCCCTCCCTGCACTTTTCCCTGCCTGGGGCCTCCCTTCATCCCTCACACTGGAGGAACTGTCCTGGGATGTGTATTGAGACCCTGAAAGGGAAGGCAGAGACTGTTCTCGGGATGTCCCAGGAGGTACACATCGCCCGTATCATGGGCTGGTGAGAATGGCTGGTCCCGCATCATGCTGACGAGCACACCCACTGTCCCTCCGCCTGGGCACGGAGGCCAGTGCTCCAGAAACCGCGAGCTGCTCCAAAGGTCTGCATCTAATACTGCAGATGGAGTTTTGTTGGGAGAAGTCAGGCAAGGAGTCACGGGCGCCCTCAATCCTGCAGGTGTCTTCCAGGGGCCGGCTGAGCTCAGCCTAGTTTGAACCAGACTTAGTCCTGACTTTGAACGCTGACCACATCCTCAAGAAAGGAGAGTGCTGGGGAGGGGTGGGCAGCCTGGCCTTCCTGCCTGGACCACGGCCCCTGCAGGCAGGTCTGAAGCCGGTGGCTCAGTACTCCAAGGCAGGGGAAGGGTGGTGGCGGGGAGCAGATGGCTTGGCACCTCCCTGCCACCCTCCCATTAGAAGGGCCTGTGTCTGTCCCAACTCCGCCTCCCAGTCTGTGAGCCACAGAGCCCACCTCTTCCTGCTCATGGGGTGGGGGGGTGGCATGCTCCGGCCCCACACATGGGGCAATGGCTGCCAAGCTAGCACAGCCCTCACCCATAAGGTGTGCCCCGCGAGGGGCAGCTGCTGCTGTCACTGTCACTGTTGCTCCTGGCACTGGCTGTTCTCTGAGGGAACAATGCTCACAGATGGCGTAACTGTGAGTGGGAGGAGGGGCCCCCAGAAAGGGCCCTACCCGGACTCTCTAACTCCGCTTCTTCACGTTTCTCGCTCATCCCAGATGGGACACGTGACCTAAGCTGCTGGCCACGAAGACTTCACCCAGTCCTATCTCTCGTGCTTGGGGCTGGGAGCATGGAGGTGGCTTGTGAGGTGGGGAGGGGGAGATTTCTGAGCAAAGCTCAGCCCCAGCCTCTGCAGTTGGAGCTGTTTGGACTGGCTATCCCTTCCCAGGCCCTCACCTCCAGTCTGCAACCAAAAGTGCCCAGTCTGTGTCTGCGTGAGTGTCTGATCATACAGGTGTTCACAAGTGTGTGCTGGAATATGCATGTGTATAAATGTATGCCCCAACATGTCCTTATGTGTATGTGCATGTGTGTGCATGATTGAGCCCCTGTTTGCATGTGCACCTGGGTGTGCCAAGCACTGTGTGGCCCATGAGCATGTGTGTCCATGGGTGTGCATGCGTGTTGGGCAGATGTGTGTGAGTGAGCATGTGCAATCGATTGTGTAATGCTGGTGTGCATGAGTGTGTGCTAATGTAAGTCTAGGCATCTCTGTGCATAAACACAGATGTGCATGTGTGAGTGTGCTTGTTCACCGATGTCCACAGATGTGCTGTGTCTGGCAGGTGAGCAAGGATAAGCATCATTTGGCCCAGTGTCGGTCCCGACTCTTACATAAAGGGCTGCATTGCAGTGATCCCGTGGATTCATTGGAATTCAGCAGGCAGCACGGCACAGGGGCGGACAGCTCTGACGGGCAAAATCCTAAGAGTCATGTCCTCCCCCGCAGCGCTGGCAGTCAGCGGCTCCCGCGCTGTGTGCCCGGACACCTCCCACATGCACAGTCCCTGCTCCCACCCTCCAGAACACTCTGCTTCAACACCTGGTCCATTTCTTATCTCTGGTCCATGGATGGGGGTCCATGGATGGGGGAAGAGGAGGGAGGAAGGGAAGGAGGTCTAGAAGCAGAGACAAAGATGGCCCCAGGCCCCATCCTGTTTAAAGACCTGCTCACAGTGCGTGCTTGGGGCTGGGAGAGCCCTTCTGCCCATAAGCCCAGGATACCCACCCTTCACTGACACAGTGATGAAACAAACCATGAAATGCTTGCCACACGTCTGCACACATGGGTCAGGATCTGGAGCCCTGGAACCTTGTGAGGACTGACCATGGTGGCAGGTGATCAGTGGGGGGGGGGGAGCAAGATGTGGCAAGATGGGGAACTGGTGTTTGGCTGCTAGTGAGACCAGCCCTTTCCAACATGAGCCAGCTCGCTTAGGGGTCCTCTCTCAAGAGGGCTAGGAAAGGGTGGGATGAAACTGGGACAGTAGGAGGGATGGAGGGTAGAGGAGGGAGGATGGTGGGGAGGCGGTGGGGGGAGGGGTAAGAGCTGCGCTGCGGGAGCCCTGGTGGGGGGTGGTGGGCACCTGGCTGGAGATGAGGTCCTCGCACACCGACAGGGCCATCTGGATGGCGTTGGGTTTGTGGGTGACGGAGGTGGCATTGAGTTGGATCTTCCAGGAGCCATGCCGCTTGTTGGCCTGGTTCACGGCCTCACGGAACATCTGCTCGTGCTTCCTCGTGCTCAGCACAGCTCCGATGTTGACGATCTTGGGGTCGCAGGCAGCGCGGGCAAAGGAGCAGGAGAAAAGCAGGGCGAGTGTCAGCAGGCGCATGGTGCTCATGGGCTCCGGGCAGAGCCCTAGCTCTGGGCAGCGCGAATACGGGGCCCTCGGCGCATCCCCAGCGGGGTGTCCCGGCCGTCCTGCGCGCGCCCGATCCCGCGGGCTGGGGGCGCCACGTCTTCCCCCGGAGCCGTAGTCCCCGGACGTCTGCGGGAGGGAAGAGGGCACCCGAGCCCTCGGTGGGCGGGCGCTGTGCCGGGCACGCGGGGGTCCCACGGCCGCGGGAGCGGCTGGCGCTGTCCGCGGTGCTGAAGCGGGTCCCGGCGCTGCTCCAGGCGCCCGGCGCCGCCGAGAGCTCGTCGCAGCCGCGGCTCCTCCGCGGGCTTCGCTGGTCCTGGTCCCGACGCTGCGGCGACCGGCAGCTACGGAGCCGCGAGTGGGGCCAGCGTCTCCTGCCCCTCCCGCCGCCCCCGCTTCCCAACACGGAGCGGCGCCTCCCGCGCCAGAGTGTGCGCCTGCGTTGGTGCGAGCATTTATCAGAGCACACGAGGGGTGGGGGGAGGCTGTGCGCGAGTGTGCGTGTACGCGCGGGTGTGTTTGGAGGGGTCGCTGCGACAGCGACCTGCAGGGAGATGAGTTTAGAGAGGTTAGAGGGGTTCGTGTCCCTGCGGCAGCCTTGCGTGTCTTTAACATGACCAAATGTGTCCTGGCAGTGTGTGCGTGTGTGTGGGCACGCGCGCGCGCGCACGAGTCCTCACCCATAGTCAACGATATTTCGGGGCCTGACTCTGCTGGCTGGAGACCCAGAGGTGTGGAGAGGCCCTAAGCCATGTCTCTAGGGGAGGGACAGTGGGACTCCCCCCTCCAAAAGGCTCAAAAATGGGGGAGAGATCCCATCTGCCTGGCCATGTGACTTGGACTCCCCCCAGAGGGTTGAGAAGAATAGAAAGGGTGACAGCGGCTGCCCCCATGTTGAGCTGGGTCTTCCAGCGGAGTCCGGGGTCTGGACCCAAATCAGTTATGCAGAAGCCAAGGCCAGAGAGAGTTGTGTTTGTAGCGGATGGGACCAAGGTTAGACATCAGAAAGCACTTGCTCTGGTGAGGTGTGTGCCAGGATAGACATCCAATATCCCCTGCTTCTACTCTTCCCCTGCTCTTCCTCCCCTAATTCACTCCCAGCCCCCACCCCTCCTGCCCCTTTCCAGAGCCTCCCTTGTCCCCACACCCTTGGAGAGGGCTTCACTTCCCTAACTCAAAGGATGGCTGAAGCTCCGCCCCCTGCCAGTGACATCATTGTTTCCAATAGCAACTGAGGATTCTGCAAACCCAACTGCAAAAGCCCCCAGTAGGGATAAAGCAGGGCCGTCCTCACACCTAAGTGATGTTCTGAGCAGCAGAGAGGGGAGAAGCCCCTCCCTTTCCCTCCGGATCCCACTCTCCCTGTCTCCCTGCAGTTCTCACCACTAGGCTGACCTCCCGCCCCACCCCCCAGAGCCAAACACAGACACCAAGGGATATTCCTGGTTCTGAGAGGCAGGGGCTCGGCTCTTGGCATGCTCCCTTTCTCGACCCCTTCTCTCTCAATGCGAAGGAATCATTGCTGGGGGGTTAACCTACTGGTGGCTTGCTGCAGGCCCACCCCTCTCTCTGCTCCAGGATCGAGATCCACAGTGGAAGGAACATCAGTCCTAGACACGCTTACTCCCTGTGGGCTCACAGAAGGATATATTGGGGGGTGTTTGGGAGCCCAGAGCCAGCCCCACCTCCACAGGGTCTGTGGCCTGTGGCCTGTGGCAGGTCAGAGCTTAGAGGCTGTGTGGGTGCATGAGGGCAGGCTGCCAGCTCTGGTGTGGCCCAGACAGCTCCAGAACACCTCAGGGACAAAAGAATTCAGGGGACTGCAGCCAGACAGCCAGGCCCCTCCCATCTACCCCCACCTGCCAGTTGGGTGCTGGAGCAGCTCCGGCTAGCCCTGGAGAGGCAGTTTCTAAATATTCAGATATCTGTGAGCTAGTTTTCACGCAGCTGGGAGCTTGAAACTGGCTATGGTGGAAGCAGTTACACCAGGGAAATCATCAAACCCTGCAAATCAGTGCTTATTTTTCCCTGTGGACTGTGAGTTTGCAGCATACCGCCACCTCCCCCAGGCTGCTGGTGCTCATGCTTTTGTCTCAAGTGTCTGGCACAGGTTCCAAACATTCAGGGCTGGGGCGGAAGCTGTGACCGCCCACCAGACCTCAGCCCCCTCCTATGGCTGAGTCCCCTCCTGGGCTCTCCCCTCCATTTTACTTTGTGGGCTTCTCCCATCAAGGAGGGAGGGGTGCAGCCACAGAGGGCCCAGGTCTTGCTTTGCCCTGATAAGACAGATGAACCTGCCTGAACTTGAACCCCTCTGAATCCTCTTCAGCCAAATTCTGTAGGGAGGCCTCAGGGGCCTGGGGTGGTGCCACTGGCCTGGGTGGAGAGGGAGGCCGGGGTCTGCCCCAGGCCTCCCCCTGGGGAGGTACTCCTGGAGAGGGAGCTGCTCCCCCCTCAACCATGCTCCAGAAGGGGCTGTCAGTCCCAGGTACAGCCCTCCTAAGCCTCAGTCAATTGGCAGACTGGCCAAGGGGTGGTCACAAAACCCAAGCAGACCACTCAGGGTTCTTCCCTGGGATTTTGGCTGGGTCAGAAACTGGGCCAAGAACCCATTTCTACATCCTCTCTGGAGGTGAACCCCAGGTGAACTGGGACTTCAAGAGCCACTTGTGGACACATTCTGCCAAGAGGAAACCAGTTGGAGAGGAGGAAGCTGACAGCAAGGGAGGAGAGTGCAGAAGCTTTGCAGATGCCTTGCCCATGGCCAGCTTAGGGTGCAGAGGACGCGCTTGCATCTGGTGTTCTGCTGTGAAGGCCTGCCTCCAAATTAGGACTGGGGAAATGGGGCTGGCTGTCAGACATGGACTCTGAATGGAATGAGGCTCTCCATCCCCTGATCTGGGGAAGCCTGAGGACTCTCACAGAGCCATGCTTCAGACAATGATGCTAGCTTGCTCTCTTGCAGATTTCCCCTTGCACACCTTGATCCACCTGGTTCTACTGCCTGCCTCCAGCACCACAAGATCCCTCCTGTCCCTGCTCCCCCCCTCTCGGATTTGCCAAGTCCCACTTTTCCCTAAGGCCATCTTCCCAACATCACAAAGTCCCCTAGGGATGACTGTGGACCCCACTGTGGACAAGACTGAGCTTTAGTTCACTCAACAGACATTTGCTGAGCACCTGCTATGTTCTGGGTGCCGCTCCAAGTGCTAGGGGTACAGCAGTGGGAGACTTAGACAAGTACCTTAGGCCATGTAGTGCAGCATTACATACTCCAAAGGAAGAGAAATCAGAGTAGGAGGTAGAGTGTGATGGCACCATGTGCTGGTTTTCACATGTCTGTGATCTCTTTGATATGCATCCCTTCAAGGGGGGCCCAATGCCTCTCCCCTTGAATATGGACTGGACTTGGCAAATTTTCTACTGAATGGAATGTGGCAGAAGTGATGGTGTGTGATGTCCAAGGTGAGGTTTAGAAAGGACAGCTTCCATCTGGCACTGTCTGTCTCGGGCCATCTTCTCTGGGGCAAGCCCGCCGACTGCCATGCTCTGAGGACATTCACCAGTCCTGGGAGATGCCAGTGTGGAGAGTAACCCCATGTCAGGAGCCTCCTGCCCGCAGCCAGCACCAACTCTGAGACTCCAGAGGCCCTCCAGCCTCAGCCGAGCCTTCAGATGACCACAGTCCTGGCTAACATCTTGACTGTCACATCATGGGAGACCTTGAGCCAGAACCACCCTGTCAAGCTGCTCGAGAATTCCTGACTACAGAAACTGTGAGGGACAATGAATGTTTATTGTCGTTTAAATGCTGAGTTTTGGGGTAATTTGTTATGCAGCAACGGATGACTAGTCAATACAGGTTGTTATTTTAGGGTATTCCTCCCCTAAAAGATGTCTGAGAAGAAATGAGAAAGCAGGCCAGGCAAATATCTGAGGAAAGAATGTTCCTGGGACAGGGAATGGCAAATGCAAAGGCCCTGGGGTGGAATTGTGGCATGGAGCAGAGTGAGTGAGGGGAGGACAGATAGGGGGAAGCCAGAGAGGTGATCGGTCAGATCCTGGGGGACCAAGGAGGTCATGAGGAAGGCTTCAGCCTTGTTTTAAGTGAGATGAGAAGCCATTGGAGAGATTAGATCAGAGGAGTAACACAATTCAATTTCCTTTTCAGAAAGGATCACCTGGCTGCTATGTGGGGAACCAAGTGACCAACCAGTACGTTACGGAATCACCCATGTGCCGGGCGAGAGCCTCCAGGGGATGGACATGGAATGAGGAGGCGGGGGGGGGGCACGAATCACTCTCAGGTTTTTGTCCATGTGTGGTACTGCTGACGAGAATGGAAGGGGGCAGGTCCATAGGTCTTCTGAAGTAGGAATCAAGATTTTAATATTTTTATAAAGTTTCCAC